TTTCCTTGCCCCACCATCTAAGTCCTGTACTAATCTCCAAACCCCAGCTCTTCTTGATGACATTGGCGCAACTCTCTTCTCCCTTGCCATCACTCAACCACCAACAAGCACGACTCAAGTCCCGGATGGAGCCAAGGGAGAGGCGGGAGACGACGTCATGAGAGTAGACGAACGAAGTGATCATTGGATTAGATAGTCGGGACAGCTCCGCAGAAGTGAAACATCTGAGTATGAGGTGTTATTACGAAAGCACGAATGTGGGATGATATGCGTACGGTGGTGCTATGCAGTATGCAGAGACCCGTCGACCAACTGGTAGCCCACTGAGAGGTACAGTCAAACATGTCGTAGGATCCGCCCACATCTAGTGAGAAATATTAGTAACTTGGTCATAAAGATAGAGTTGGCGACTCACTAGAGCGAGTAAACCCGCAACCGCTGCTCCAAGGCTATGCCCACTCATAACCAACTCTATAAAGACGACGTCAATCGAGTGATAAGGTGTCTTTTTGTCTCTTACCGTATCCCCTATTCCTTCTCAAAGCCACCCGTACAGCATTGTGTACCGGTCCTCCAGTTCCGCCCATAACCTGGGCCATCTTATACATGCCACTGTGTACCAAGTAGGGCGAACGAAGTGACGCGGTGCTGACTCTTCGGTTCCTTTGAGGAGCATTTGGCTCAAAGTCCATTGGTTCGCAAGTGAGGTCCTGGTCAACTCTTAGAGTGTATAGTAAGAAAAGAAAGGGAGTGAACGTACGACAGCTAATTCGTTCAGACTCATAGTACCTCGGATAACCAGAACGACTTGTCGACGGGTATGATCCGTCAACACCCAGAACCTCGGCATGCGCTCAATGGCTCCAATAGTCGCATGCAGTTTTTTATCTAAAGGTAAGGTCAGAGCAAGTTCTAACTCGGCACTATGCTTGTTCGCTCACCTCTGTTGAGTTCTTTCTTAGCTTCTCGAGCCCCTTCCTTGATCTCTCCAGCAGCAATAGCCGCAGCGGCGAATCCCTCAAAGATTTCTTGATCCCTCTTTCCACTCATAATCTCCCACCAGGAAGGCGCTTTTATTGTAGCTTGAGGACTGGGATTTGATTCGGTGGGTGACGAAGGGAACGCAATAGATGGTTGAGTTGGCCACGTTGGAGACGAAGGTAGTTCCGTTGTAGAGACGGATGGGAATGGTACAGTCCCACCACTTCCACTACTTGTACCTCCATTTCCACCTCTGGTTATGGCGCGCCCACCTGGACTATTAGGATAAATATCCCCTATTTTCGTACCCTTGGAAATAGTAGCAGTCGATAAACTGGGATATCGCTGACGAGTGTTGAAATTTGAAGGGCCGGGTATAGGGTTGTATTGTTGCGCGGGACTAGTTGGGTAACGGGATTGCATGGAGACGGTTCGGCTATGCGCGAGGGTTGACGAGCCACCCGTCATTTCTTCCTCATCGGCGTCATGCACCAACTGTGCGATGACTTCTTCCTCTTCTTTGAGATCTTCAGCATTTGTGGTAGTGGCAGAGACATTCGGAGCTTGTGGAGGCTTTCCTTTGGAAATGTGAGGTTTGTTCGTATCGGCTGCCGATTCTTTACCGGGATAAGGAACGCCGAAGAAGAGGAGAGAAGCACCCCCGTATCCACCGAGAACAATCTTGGAGAGCCGACGCAAGTTTAATCGTATGTCGCCCATCTTGAGGTTATGCACAGACGAGTCCTCGAGAGCTAAAAACAGGAGAGATCAGATTGAGAAGGGATGAAGGATGAAATGGGCATACCTCCTTCCTGGAACATTGAATCCCACTTTTCGCCGATTTCTGCACTGAGAATCTGGCCACCCTGTCCCGGCAAGTGCAAATCCTCGCGCACAAACACGCGTGAACCCCGACTGATCATACTCGCATTCCGCATACGATACGAAAACGAGTTATAGTACGACCTCTTTTCACTCTCATCCATCTCCTTGGGTGGCGGTGGTGGAGGCGTGACCTCTGTCCACTCCTCGTCGCCAATCTCGCGCATATTCGCCCTCCACCGATCTTCATGCCACCCTCTCGTCGCACACTGCAGCGCTGCCCACGCCACGAGTGCTTTCCCAATACTCAACACTCCATACTTGTCTTTATCCTCTGGCAATCGTTCTTTGAGCACGGGATCTTTCCACTCGCGTCGAACAAGCGTGACGAATTCGGCAAGAGAGAATGAAGCTTCGTGTGTTCCGAACATGGAGGTGAGGACGTCGATAGAGGAAGAGGCAAGAGTGAGGGAGGTCGAGGTGAGCGCTTGGCCAATGTCGAGTGGAAGTAGGGCGAGTTGCTCGATGAGATTAAGCGAGTGGGTAATGCTGGATGCGATAACGAGACCTGCACCCGGTGGAATGGGAGTGATAGGCGTTAGAAGAGAGGAGCCAAGAGTTACGACGGTTGTAGTGACACCTCGAGCGATTCCGAACTAGGGTTATAAAAAAGTAAAGGTAAGTTTAGCT